TTGATTAACTAAAATTAGCCTGCAGTCATGAGGCTGAGTCAGCAACTAACTGACAGGAAGCAGTAGGGAGGAGTCAGGTGGAGAGGGGCTTTTAAGTGGGGGCTGGTAGAAGGACTCCCAGCTTTTCGGGAGATGCAGTCAAGGAGAGCAGTTGGGCTCCTTGCTATTCAACCTCTCAGATCTGTAGAATTCCAACTCCACCTTTGAATTTTGAGTTCTTTAGAGGGACAGAGATTTAAATAAGTTCCTTTCAAAGCCCTAAAGAGTCATTGCCCGAGGGAACAGAATCCCCTTGGGCTGCAGCCCGTGAGGAGAACCACTTTGGTAGCAGAGTTGCAGTTGCTGATTGGGACAGACATTACTTAAATGGCAGCAACAGTGACAAAGAAAGACAACTCTCAGCCTGTGTAGACAGCACTCAGGCAGTGAATGGTCTCAACTTCTTTGGTCCCCAGGTGGGACAAGTGGGAACACAGAAACGGGGACCATTCAGCTGCTCAAATCTGCCTCACACCTGTCTGATGCCCCAGACTTCTCATGCTTCATGTCTGCTTCCCATGTCAGCATAGCTGGTTAGTAAGGGCTCTCAGAATGGGGTGCTACTTCTGCTAGGCAGACCCCCAAAGTGGAAAGGCACGTGGCATACACGAGAGTACAATCCTATTGGGCCCCGAGACCTGGGCTGGGGCCACTGGCATGACCAAGGCAGTAAGGGACCACGGGAGGCATCAACAGCCAGTGCAACACATGCACAGAGTTAATCTGCTCCCTGTGCTTCAATCCAAGCCTGCTGTGGCCCCAGTCTCTGGACCCTCACACAGCAGCTGCCCACAGCCCTGGACCCATCCTCTATAGACCAAGGAAAGGTAGAGGAGGACGATGCAAGCGAAAGTGCGCCGACTCCACACATGTCTCCTCCTCTCTCAATGAATTCTTGACCTGGGAGGACTAGAAGCAGAAAACCAATCCCCAGGCTCACTACTGGCCGCCTACATGGGGGTGATGTTTTAATCAGTGTTTTATTGCTGTGAAGAGACACTATGATAACAGCAACTCTTATAAAGGAAAGCACTGAATAGGGACTTGCTTACAGTTTCAGAGGATTAGTCTCTTTTCACACTGTAGAACACAGGTAGATATGGTACAGGAGATATAGTTGAGAGTTCTACATCCAGATCCTTGGATCTGATGTGCCCTTACTACTCAGGATGTAGGAAGAGAGAGAGCCACTGGGCCTGGCTTAGCTTCTGAAAACTTTGAGCCCACCCCCAGTGACATGCTTCCTCCAAAAGGCCATACTTCCTAATCCTTCTAAGCTGTGTTACTCCCTAATGACTATGCATTCAAATATATGAGCCTATGGGAGCCATACTCATAGGCTTGTAGCCATATCAGAATGCAAAAAAGTTCAGTCCAACTTCAAATGTCTTTAAAGTCTACCACACTCAACACTGGCCCAAACATCCACAATCTGGTCTCTTCTGAGTCTCATAGCAGTCTCTTAAGTGTGACATCCTGTAATATCAAAATCAAGCAGCAGATCCCAACCTTCCAGCATGCCATGGCACAAAATATACATTCTCATTCCAAAAATGAGATAAGGAAACATGGTGAGGGACAGCAGAGTGAGGAAATTCTGAACAAAGGCAAGACTATAAAACAGCTGGGCTGACTCCAAACTGCATCTCCATGTCTGATGTCAAACAAGTCTTCAGAACTCTAGAAACTTCAGCTTTGTTGACTTCAACACACTTCTTTCTCTTGGGCCAGTTCCACATACAGTTTGCAACCTTCCCTGGCAGGTATCCTGTGGAATAATCCTTCTGAACACTGTGAATATGTATAACTTTGATTGGTTTAATAAAGAATATGACTGGCCAAAAGCTGAACAGGATAAAGTTAGGCAGCAGAGCCAAACAGAATTATGGGAAGGGAAGGGCAGAGTCTCAGGAGTCATGGGAGTCTGAGGTCACCAGCCAGATGTTGAGGGAGCAGATTAGGATACTGCTGTGTTGCAAGAAGGTACTGCCAAGTGGCAAAACATACATTGGAAATATGCAATAATTTAAATGTAAGACTTCTCTAGTAACAAGCCTGAGCTATTGGCCCGGCATTTATTATAAATATTAAGATTCTGTGTTGTGGTATGTATTCAATCATAAGTGGACATTGGAAGTAAGGCAAACGATAACCAGGCTACAATCCACAATCCAAGAGAAGCTAGATAACAAGGAGGACCCTAAGAGGGACATTCATGGATCGCTCTAGGATGGGGAAATAGATAAAATCTCTTCGGTAAACTGGGAGCATGGGGTGGGAGATAAGAACATGAGGGAATGGGATAGTTGAGTTGGGAGAGGGACAGAGTAGAACAGCAAGGAAAGAGATATCTTAAAAGAGGGAGCCATTATGGGGTTAGAGAGAAACCTGGTGTTAGGGAAATTCCTAGGAATCCACAAGGATGACACCAGCTAGGACTCCAGGCAATAGTGGAGAGGGTGCCTGAACTGGCCTTCCCCTGTAATCAGATGGATAAATACCCTAATTGTCATCATAGAATCTTCATCCAGTAACTGATGGAAGCAGATGCAGAGATCCACAGCCAAGCACTGGGCCAAGCCCCTGGAGTCCAATTGAAAAGAAGGAGGAGGAATTACATGAGCAAGGGGGTCAAGACTGATGGGGAAACCCACAGAGACGGCTGACCTAAGGTAGTGGGAGCCCACAGACTCTGGACTGACAGCTGGGGAACCTGCATGGGACCGAACTAGGCCCTCTGAATGTGGGTGACAGCTGTGTGGCTTGTGCAGTTTGAGGGGCCCCTGGCATTGAGACCAGGATTTGCCCCTAGTGCATGAACTGGCTTTTTGGAGCTCATTCCCTATAGAGGGAAACCTTGCTCAGCCTTGATACAGTGCAGAGGGGCTCGGTCCTGCCTCAACTCAACATGCCGGACTTTGTTGACTCTCCATGGGAGGCTTTACACTCTCTGCAGAATGGTGGGGGAGAGTTGGGGGAATAAGAGAAGGGGAGAGAGGGGGAAATGTGGTTGGTGTATAAAATGAAAAAAAATATATATTAAAAAAAAACAACAAAAACAACTCTGTGTTGGTTATTTGGGAAGTGGCTGCTCAGACAGAAAAACTCTGACTACAAGAATCCCACCACAATGGCATCTCTAACATCTTGGAATTTCCAAGTCAATCCAATTCATCATCACAGTTTCATACAATGGCTGCTTCACATCTAATACATGCCTGGCTTCAGCAACTTTCCTGACCCCAAAAGCTGGCAGCAGAAAGAAGAAGCCATTGGGCATGGATGGCATGGGCTTCTGAAACCTCAAAGCCCACCCCAGGAAGATACGTGCTGCAACAAGGCCACACCTCCTAATCCTTCCAAGTAGTGTTACTCCATGATAGCTAAGCATTACAATATATGAGCCAGTGGGGGCCATCATTATTCAAACATCCACAGATGCCGAGCCCTCAGCACCTCCACAAACTCACACGCATCTCAAAGGATAAAGAGAGGTGACTAAATTCAGTCTGAGCCTCACCAGGAGCTGCAAGTGGCTGGGTATTCACTATCACCATCATCACCCAAGAGGATAGACCTTCAAAGCAACTGCCCTAAAAGTGCCAGTCCCTTCTCCAAATTCCTAACTTAACTCACAGCCTACTTTGAAGCTGTAGCCAGGTTCAGACCAGAAGGCCAGGCATCACCTCTCTTTGGGAGTGGGCAAAGCCCCAGGGCCCTTGTGCAGGTACCTGCTTCCCCAGCCAGCGTCTTGAACATCTACCAATGTCCCTCTATCTGGGAAGGGAAATTTCCCAGCCTATTCAGTTTTTGTTTTTATTGTTGAGGATGCGTGTATGTGTGTATGTGTCCCTGTTTGCTATATATTTGAGATCTTAGTGCCAGATTTCTGAATGCCCTATCCCAAAGAACAAAAGATAATACCAGGCTAAAGTTGCCATTTTGATCCAGGAAGCTTAGTTTAAGGGTGATACAAGGGTACCTGTTTGGAAATGCTTCCAAAAGAAGGCTGACTAGACTCAGCATTCTTGGGCAGGCACTAACAAAGACAGTTTCTTAGCTACATGAGATCTTACCTCCACCCTCCAGCCCTCAAAAGCTGCTGGGGTAGAACAGGACTGCTTCATGCCAACTGTGACATTTTGTCCCTCTCAGCCAGTTTCTTCAGCTGGCCAGGCCTAAAGCACCCCCAAATCAACTCTGACAGGAGTGAATCAGTGTATCTAACCGGGTGGAAGACAATGCATGGTGAGGCCTGGGAGAACCCAAAGAGCCGTGCCTGGGCACAGGCCTGCACTCAACTCCAGCAACTGTCTGCAGCAAACCAACATATAGCCAGTACTTCCAGGTTTTGGACTTTTGTTAAGAGACAATCTCATATTTCCTACACATAAAAAAAAAAAATTCAGTCAGGTGGGGTGGCACATTCCTTTAATCCCCATACTCAGAAAGCAAAGGCAAGGAGGATCTCTGAGAAATTGAGGCCAGCCTGGTCTACATAGTGAGCTCTGGGACAGCAAGAGCTACATAGTGAGACCTTGTATCAAAAACCAAATGAACAAACAAAAAAATACTCAAAACATTTTATGCTTATCCTTCCAAATGTGCAACAATAACAAATAGGTCAGTTGACTGGATCACATCAAAGGTCATTCCTAGCTCAGATATTCTGCATGATTTATTTCAGAGCTCATCTAAAGCTTTGGGGTTTTGCCATGCCCAGACCATGCACTATCTGGGGAGTTAGTCTGACTGAGTTCCCTGCTGGTGTTCTGCTCTGGTGGGAAAGGAGCTGCTTACCATCTTCCTAGGTCCCTGCTGCCATCTCTAACCACACTAACCCTGTTTCTCTCCATTCTCTTTCTCAGCACCTTTCTTATCTGCTCTTTGATGACCTGAAAATCTCCAGAAATGTGCTATGTATTGGCTGATGCCAAGAGAGGACACCCACCATTTCCTACCTGGAATCTGGAGTCACAGCTGCTACAGGTGGAGCCCAAGAAATGTGCCCTGTGCTGAAGCCAGAGCCTGGGGCCAGTGCAATCCTATGAGAATAAGAATGAGAAGACATTAGCTTCCTATTCTTAGAGCTTATAAGCTCTATGGAAGTGTGCCGTGTGAGTGAGATGGCTCGAAAAATTGAAACACTTCAATATATGGGTGTGAGTTTCAGGGGGTGCTGAACAGAAGGGAAAGGTGAGCAGGAAGGAGGACAGTGAAGTGGAGGGGTCATTCTTTGGGTGTCTCAGGGAAGCTTCAGATGAATGGGTGTCATAGAAACTGGGCCATGGCAAAGAAAGGGACAGAGCATTGTGGGAATCCCTCCAGTGAATTAAAAGAGCAGAAAGCAGGCAAGCAACTCTACATTTTTGGCTGAGTAGGCTAGGAGGATGCTGCAGGTCATGCAGAGCCTAGAATGTAAATAAAGCTCAAAGGTGCTAGGGGGACTATCACCCAGCAAAACAAGGAAGGAGATATCCCTGTTAGAAAATGGGGAAAATAACCTAATTAGAAGGTGCTAGGGGGCCGCAGATGCTCACAACTTTGGTCTACTAAGTGGCAATGGTCATCACTGTGTCTGAGATGGTGAGGGCTGATGTCTGCGGCATAGCAGGCTGGCACTAGGGAAGGTGTCACTTCTGGGGTTCCCCACAGGACCCTGGCCTGTTGCCGGACCTCACAGTGTGGCTAGGGGGCCTCCAAGGGCGTTGAGGGGCTGCAGAGAGGAGTCAGGAAGAACAGCCCTTCTGCTGGCTGCTGCTGGGGTGGGCAGTGGAGGGGGCACAGGTGCATGCAGCCCGGGGAATCTCAGCAATTTCAAGCGTTAACGGCAGGGGAAGAACAAGTCCAATAGTGATTGGGAAACAACACCCTAAACACGAAGTGGTCATGCGAGGAAGCACTGGCCCATCTTACCTCAAATTCTTGGGGATCACTTCGTAGAACTTCTCTTACTTCTCTTTGTTTTCTGCCAACTCAGAAGGGAGCACAATGCTCTTCTTCACAATGATTTTGGTGATGATATTCAGGATCTTGCTCTGCTGGAGCAATTCTCAAGTTGTCAGAGATGCTACAGGTAAAGTCTATAATGAAGCAGAGCAGACAATGCAGGAAAAAGTTGGATCAGACCTGGTGGGGTCACCAGATTAAAATACACAATAAGTAAAGGTCTTAAGAGCCAAGGACTATAGTTGTCTAGGTTAAAGATGGTCTCAGCTGTATGCTGAAGGCCTGCTAACGAAGACTTTGCCTTTGGTACATACATCACACCCAGGAGATATCCAGGTACTCAAGTGTCACCTTAACACAGCTGCCCATGATGAACACAAGACAGACACACAGTCTGATGTTCTTCTTCTTGTTTTTAGATAGGTCAAGGGGAGCTTGCCAAGGAATGAAGAGCAATGCCCTGAATCCCAAGTGATTTCCTACAGAGAAGTGCTGAAAGAGAACCCAGCAATGCATTTTAGGACAACATTGCCTCAAGTCCCCAATATCAAACAACTGACACAGGAATAATGGCATACTCCTGAAACCCTAGGGACAGAGTAGAAACTATGGGCTGCTCCAGAGAAAACAACCCCAATACCAAGTCAACCTAAATGCTCTTAGCAAGAACTGTCCCTCCAATCAGAAGCCTGGCCGTGATGACCACCACCAGCAGAGCAGGGGGGGGTCCCCCAGAGGGGCAGGTGAAACCACTGCCAGGCACAGGCCACTCTCAGTTGTTCCCAGAGGATCATGTCATGCGGTTCCATGGCTTTCAGTTCTCAGCTATGAAACAGTGGGAAAGTTGTGCTCTACCACCTCCAGCACATTCTGTACACCTTCTACTTTACACAACATGCACTTGGACTGCCACATGGATTTGCCAGTCATTGGGGAGACGGTGGCAGCATTTACCATATTCCTCCCCTGTGATGTCAGTAGCCTTTCCAGTCCAAGTGGTCTCAGCCTTAGTCAACGCTGCCTGATCCACGCATGTGTTTCTTCTTAGTCTCTTTGCTTTTCCCTTTCTTATCATTGCCTCTGTCATCATCCTCATCTGCTCCCACATCTTTACTCTTACGCTTGCACTCCAGATTCTTACCTTCCTCCTGCTTCCTCATCTTTCTCTTTCTCTGCCTCATCTTCTCTGATCTCCTTCTCTTGTTCCTTCTCTAAATAAACCACCAAATTTAATGAGTTGAGGAGAACTCAACACCCAGCTAGGCCAGAGGCCAGGAGCCAACACAACCACCCACCCAAACACTGCCAAGCCCATACTCACATAGAGGGTGAAGGGAGAACTTAATGAACGGTGAGTGTTTCTTCATAGCTTCCTTGACCCTCCTCTCCTCTCTGCACTCTCTCAGGTCTTCTTTTAGGCGAAAGCTCACTTTAGTGTTCTGTCCAATGGGTTTACCTATAGAGAGACGAATCATAATATAATAATGAGAAAGGGAATTAAAACTACAGCTAAAATACTCAACAAAGATAGACCGATTTAAAACAAAATGATCAAGACTTCTGACGTACTTAACCCAGACAATTCCCCCAATCCCCACAATGTAGGTAGCCAACTCACATGGTCAGCACAACTTGAAGGATCCACCAGTAACAGACTCCCCGGCATGCTGCTCACCATCCCTCTGCCTTGTGACCACAAACATTTTCTCTGCCACCAGATAGACAGAATAGAAACCATCATCAAAGTGTCCAGTCATGGAGATGCATCCAACAGCCTGCCAAAGGGGTTTCAAACATTCAAAGAGATCCAGCAACACGGCTCTGCACAAGCAAATCAAGATCTTGCTGATCAAGTATAGCAATCACGGTTCAGTCCACAGAACCTGGTGGTCAAAGTTCCCCTCAGACCTCCACATCATACTCTAAAGATCCAGTGCATACACCAGTCAAACATGTTTTCAGAAATTATTGAGCCAAAACCGGTAATAAACTGAGAACGGTGTGGATGAATGGCCATACAAGTGGATAGCCTTCATGAACACTTTTGTGCCGGACTTTAGCAAGGGTTCCAAAGTCATATAGAGGGCCATCATTGGTCATGCAAATGCATGTGTCTAGAATGTCAGCAATGCTATTGATGTTAGGGATGCCAATTTTCAACTCATTACTATTTGCCCACTTTTAAGGGTCTCTCAGGCCCTTAAACAACAACAACAACAAAACCATCTTGTTCAAGGCTTGTAAATACACATGAAAAGCCACATTGTTTCATTTTCCAAACAGTCCCTTGCCTTTCAAATGAGGCAATATTGTGGGACCAACTGATAAGATTACTCCTCTCAACCACCTATACTACATGTCACACTACTCCAGCTTCTATGAAGTTTTAAGAATACAACAGAATATTCACATCTAAAACATTAGAAATCACCTCCCACAAAAATGTCTTTGTGTGCCTAGGATGTACTGAAGATGAGGGGCAGGAGCTGAGCAATTTCTATCTGAAAGAAGAAGGTCTCCACCTCTTTTTCTGGCATCTAAGAATAAAAGCATCATGTATTACCAGAGACCATAATGGCTGAACACTTTAAAATCCAAGAATTGACCTGTTTCAATTAAGTCCTTATTCAGAGGTACAGTTAAAAATGCTTTCAACCCCAAGAGATGAGAAAAGACCTTGAATCTACAGTGAAGAAGGAAATCCAGAGAGAGAGAGAGACAGACAGACAGAGAGAGACAGAGACAGACATCAGACAGAGAGAGAGAGAGAGAGAGAGAGAGAGAGAGAGAGAGAGAGAAGAGAAGAGAAGAGAAGAGAAGAGAAGAGAAGAGAAGAGAAGAGAAGAGAAGAGAAGAGAAGAGAAGAGAAAACAACAACATTGGAAAAAATCCAGAATGAGCGTTACTAGATTTAGAACCCAAGCAACTCCTGGACACAGAAACATGGGAAATTCCTCAACTAGAACTTCTTCATTTGGACTAAGACCAAACTTTAAAAGAAACAGCAGTCATTTCTATGTGCAGCTACTGAAGGGTTTACAACACGCCTCCACGGTTGGGCGTGTTTACATATGCCCAGCGGACCTGGCCATGTCCGCTTAGCCAGTTCCAGGTCAGGATAGACATTTCCAAGTCAGAGCATCTCATGTGACCCGGACCCCTGATGTTGCATGGCTATGTAAGCCCTCGATAGCCATGTGATCTATGCGCATGCCTGGAGTAGTGACGTGACCTGTGCACGCCCAGCCTTTAAAAGCCAGCACCATGTTCCCGGTTCTTCTTCTCCACACACATGTCTCTATCACAGGCCTGTGCACTCTCTGTCCCTTTATCTTTAATAAAACTCTTATTAGCGGATTCTATCGTGTTAGTTATAGTGCCGCAAATAACTAACAGCTCCTCCTGGGCATAAGTCAATCCAGCAAATGCTCCCTTCCATCCTGCTGGGCAAGAGAACCCAGTGTGTAGTAGAGGTGCTTAAGGGGCAAATAAATCAGGACAAAGGGCCCTGGAGACAAATCTCCACCATGACAGCTCGCTGTGCAGACTTGCATAGGTCAAAAGACAAGCAAACCACTGGCGCAAGCTGTCCAGCAGGCGAGTCACTGCAGAGCATCAGTGGGCAGGAGCAATGCGGGGAGGCAGCGCCAAGGTTCCCCCTCCCATCGCCCGGCAAGTTCGCCTGGCATCTAATTGCGGGAGGCCAGAAGCTTATAAAACGATTCGAGCATTTGGGACGGGAACCTATGAATCTTCCTGTGCCTGCCTTTTCCAAATTTCTCCTCCCCCTCCACCTAGAGCGCAGAAAAGATCTGGAGAGGAAAAGCACAGTGGGTCCAAGCATCCCTGCCAAAGCGTGGACCCCTCTCCCAAACCAAGCACATTGGGAAATGCGTCCAGGACAGCTGGCAGGACCATCTTCAAGGGACAGAGCCGCCAGTCACTGAACAGATGCTTCAGATCCAGCAGTCATGAGGCTGAGTCAGCAATCAGCTGATCTTTAAGGGGAGGGCAAGCATGGCTGCTTACCCGGGGTCCGAGGTTCCCGTCCGCTGCTGTCCCCAATTGGGCAGGCGCCTCTCCCCCCCCCCCCCCCAATAGCACCAGGTGCCCCTGCCTTGTGAGCTGCTGATCTACCCACCTAGGGGAGACTCTGGGGGTGGGGTGGGGGGAAGGGTGAGCGTCCTGCAGCTACAAGCAGTTATAAACTCTATGGGCACATCAACCCGCTGGCGGAAGCCTTTGGGACAGATGCAAACACGGAAACGCTTCCGGGAAGGAGGCACTGGGAGCAGCAAGGGACAAAAAGCCAAGGCCTTACCTTAACTGGAAAACGCAGTAGAACTACAGAGCCGGGTGATCCCAGACTGACTCACACTCAAAACGTAAGCCTTGAGGAGGTGACTGGAGTGAGCGCTCCTAGACGCACCAGGACCTCCTTTATTTCAGAGGTGCTCAGCTCAAGACAGCCTGCTTTGGATCTCTCAGACTTAAAGGACCCCCGTCCACCCACTAACAGCCCTGCCCCCGCGCCTCGGCGTCCTGACGTCACGGTTGCACACCCTGGAGGGGGCGGGGAGAAGCAGGAGCCTGGGTCTGGACTGGAATTGAATGTTTGGCGGCTCCTGCTGAGGGAGCAGCTGTGGCACTGCTGTGTTTTCTTCTGGCATTTTTCGCATCAGGGCCTGGTGCCAAGGTAAGGGAGAACCCGGGCCTCAGCCTTCTCCTGCTAAGGGATCGGGGAGTAAGGCCAGGAGCTAGGGGTTGTTCTGGCCAGCCTGTCAGACTTCATTCCTGGAGATGAAGACCGCGATTGTGGGGGGCAGGGGATGTAGCAGTGAAGGTAAAGAACAGACCCAAAGCTGCCAACATTTGCAGTCCCTTGAATTAAGAAACAGGGTTGGGGCGTCTCTCAGCACGGTGCTTACCTGGCATATACAGAGCCCTTGATTCGATCCCTAGATCCAAGACATGATGCTGGAAATGCAGGAAATGCTGCAATACCAGCATTTTTCCTTGTACCAGGCCCATACATGGTTCTTGCTCCTCGCCAGACCCTGGCTGCTAGCCTTCTATCCTTTCCAAGTGGTTAAGCCTTAGGAGGACACTGGGAGATGTGCAGGTAAAATAAAAGTTTGTTTAATCAGAGAGCCTCTGAAGGCCCATGGCTTCTGTCAGGGTTAAAAGAGAAAAAAAAAAGGCAGTAAAATGACAAAGGGCGGTGACAGGGAGAACAGGCATAGACAAAAGGAAAGAGAGGGAACCTCATCAGAGCACAGGATACAGCAGTCAGGCCTGCCCCTCCACCTCATCCTTGTGACAGACAGACAGATCTCTTGCAGCCTAGGAGCCTCTTGTGCTTGACTTCAGCAGGAGCAGTCAGAGCTGTCAGTGAGAGCTCGTGTCTCCTTGTATTCTGACTAATCCCAAGTCCACCCACAGAGGCTTCCTCCTCCCCGGGGCCTGGCCATCTCTGGGCAGCACTGACCAGTAGGAAGGAGTTGGCCAGAAGAGCAAACCTGCTCCTGGCCCCAGCTTATCTCTGGCATGGAAGAAAATGAGACGGAAATGAGCAGGACACAGGCGAGCAATACAGTCCTTCTGTCCCCATGTGGACACACAACTGCCCTTATACAGAGGAGAATATGGCTCCCAGAGCCAGGCCCAGAGACAGGAAGAAGGCCATGATGAACCCCATTGTCTCCATTGCAGAGACCACTATATATAGTAGTTAGAATCGATCGTTATAAGAATGAAAGGAACCAGGTTGGTCCTCATGCTTTAATCAGGGCCCCTAGGATTAAGCCTCTAGGCCTGGTTATTTGGGGGAGTGCTAAATGGCAGGTGTATAGTGGTGGTGCCTATGGAATACTGAATTTTTATGCTTTCCTTTTTTGAGAAAATTCTCATGTCTCCCAGGCCACCCTCAAACTCACTATGTAACCCAAAATAACCTAGAACTTCTGATCCTCCTGTTTCTATCTGTCAGGTACTGAGGTTGCAGCACCACACCTGACTTCTGAGATGCACTGGATAAAACTCAGGGCTTCATGCAGTATGCTAGGTAGGCAGTCTTAAAAACTGAACCACATTCCTAGCCCCAAATACTGGGATGTATCTTTAGATCTGGGTATATATGTGTGCATGTACAGTCTTGCACACCTCTGCCTAGTGGCACACCTAAGAACTCTACACTTGGGCTGAAGGGCCCAGTGGTCTAGAGTGAGTACCTCTCTTGCAGAACAGCCAGGTTCAGTTCCCATCCCCCACACCAATCAGCTCACAACCACCTATGACTCCAGGTACAATTCCATGGTATCTGATGCCCTCTTTGGACATCTGTGGGCAGCTGCACTCACATACACCCCCCCCCCAAACATATAGACATAATTTAAAAACATCTTTAAAATCTTAACTGGATATAGGAGCACATGCACTTGGGAGCAGAGGCAGTTGGATGTCAGTGAGTTCAAGTCAAGCCTGGTCTACACAGCAAGTTCCAGGACAGCCAGAGCTACATAGTGAGACCTGACTCAAATGAACAGAAAGAAAACCATAATGACTTTAAATTGTAAAAAATATTAAAAATAGTTACACGTAAGTTACATCTAGATTTGATGCAAGCACTGCTTTTTGGTTTTGTTTGTTTGTTTGTTTGTTTGCTCCCCCCCAACACACACTTCTTGCAGTGCTATATAAATAGAACACAGGGCCACACTTGCTAGGCAAGCCCTCTCCCTCAGAGCTCCACTCCCAGCCCCACCTTTCTACTTTCTTGGGGTCCTTCCTGATCTCTGTTAGACTCTTTGATCTCACATGTGTTAAAGGTCCTCCTGTACTTAACGTACATGAATATAGCTGTGAGGCCCCAGCCTACACACTCAAACACATTGCAAGAAACAAGACACAGGAACGAAGTAGCTTCCTGGACGAGAAAGGAGAGACTCAGACTTAGCCCCTGTCTCTCTTGGGCACAGCCTCCTCACTGTAAAGTAGAAGAGATGTTTCTAGCCAGGGCAGGGGGACAAGGCCCATGAAGATCCAGCTGGCAGAATCCTCTCCAGGTTGCATACATTCCACCCTTGGTCCTGCTCTAGACTTTGGCTGAATCCATCCCAGGGATCCACAACAGCCTTTCTCCAGGTACACAGGTGCCTGAGATGCTGGATTTGAAGAGTATAAATAGAAGGAGAAATCTGGGAGGGGGAATTGGAGAGCAATAAATACTGTGAAGTTGAAGCAGAGGTTGAGAGCCAGGACTAAGATCTGGAGAGTGAGGGAACAGATTCATTCATTTTCTGTTGTTCATGGTTGCTCTGTACAGATACCAGAGAGCACACACACAGACATATTGTTCGGGGATTTTACTCTTTTTAGGGTGGCCTGCCACCTAGCTCCCAAATAAATCACACATGGAGGCTTATTATTAATTATGAATGTCCAGCCTTAGCTTGGCTTAGTTTCTAGCCAGCTTTCCTTAACTTAATCTGTCTACCTTTTGCCTCTGGGTTTTTCCCATTCTCTAACTTCAGAAAATCTTACTCTTACTCCGTGGGTTGCTGTGTAGGTGGTTGACTGCCCCCTGGAGTCCTCTTCCTTTTCTGGTTTCTAGATCTTAGCTCTCCAATCCCAATTCCCAGATTTCTCCTTCTATTTATATTCCCTGCCTGTCATCCCTGCCTATCCTTTCTCCTGCCTTTCTGTTGGCCAGTTCTTTATTAAACCATCAGGTGTTTTACAAGGGCACAGCGACAGAGCTTCACAGAGTTAATCAGATACAACATAAACAAACGTAGCATACATTAAAACAATATTCTGCTACATGCAAAGACACACATACACACAGACACAGATACACACAAACACACACAAACACACAAACACACACACACACACACACACACACACACACACACACACGTCACAGGGGGAAGAAGCCAGGAAAAGGCCCAATCTCAGGTCAGAAAGGGAGGTGGTGTGAGGGTAGATACAGCAAAAGCAGGTGAGGAAGGGAGGTCAGGATACCCCAGCCCCACATACACTCTTAAGTAAGGCTTTGATAGATTGGTTTTGCATGTTTGTATCCTTATTGCAATGTGTGTAGTCTACTTTGTATCATGGGTTTTTGTTGGAGTGTCTTTTGTCTCACCTGGAATGAAATCCATTTAAGTCATGGACCCACTGAGCTACAAGCATTGTTAATAACTCAGCTATAAGTACTCCACCCACTGAGCTAAAAGCCCTCTAATAACTCAGGTGAAAACACTCTCCTCACTGAGCTTCAAGCACTCTACACACGGAGTGACAGGACCCACTGAGTCAAGAGCTCTCTACACACTGAGCTACAAGCAGCATAACAACTCAGCTACAACACTCTATCCACTGTGCTACAAGCACCTTGCCAAGTAGGGCACAAACACCAACACCTCTCCCCTTCTCTTCCCTCTGGAGTTCCCTTTGCACCTGGAAATCAGTTTAGAGCAGAGAAATCCACCCAGTGTAGCTTTGTCTCTTTCCATTCTTTATGTCCCCCCAACACTTTGGGTGTCTCTGTGCAGTCTTAGGTCTTGTTACTTCTGTCCCAGTCTAAAGAGGAAACTTCAGATCAGCTGAAGGTTGGAGTCTCATGGACACACCACACCTACGCCAACAAGGCCACACCTCTTAATAGTGCCGCTCCCTTTGGGGCCATTTTCTCTCAAACCACCACACCTACAGAAAACACAGATATTTACATTACAGTTCCTAACAATAGCAAAATTGCAGTTATGATGTAGCAAGGAAAATCATTTTTTCACTGAGGGGGTCAGCACAACATAAGTAAATATATTAAAGGGTCATGGCATTAGGAAGGTTGAGAACCACTGTTCTTATGGCTCTGGATTACATAAATGCACCTCCATTCCCTCACTGTGTTCCTGCTAATGCTGTTCATTTTTGTCTCCTTCCTGTAATGTTGGCCTAGATGTGAAAAGTGCATTTTACTCTATGGCTATGTTCCATTTCTTCCTAGTTCCTTTAGGAGTTTATCACAAAATCTTGGTTTTGCTTATAGCTGGACTGTATTTCCTATATGTATTTTTGTTTGTGTGTTTCTTTTTTTGAAAATATATTTTGTTTTTGCAAAATTACTGGCTGTATTTTTCCCCTCAACTTGGAAATACAGCGGTTTTATTTTAATGTAGTCAATTACTCCCCAGCTTCCTTCTATTCTATTCATCGTGTTAAATTTCTTATATCCTAGGTTCTCATGGATAATTTCTCTGTGATTTTTCTATGCATAGTTTGCCTCTAATATGACCTCCAGTTCTACCTGAGTCAGTGATCTGTGTTATGTCATTTATTTCTTCAAGTGTACTTCCTTCTCCATGAACTGTAAGAGCCAACGTTTCTGCGTGCAGTGATATGGTTATTTTCTTTCAGCATATCTCCCCATGCCCACCTGTATGTAGGAATGCTGACAGGACCTTTGGTATCACTATAGTATTGGGGTCTTTTATCTGGTTCAGTATTGTCCATAACGGTTATATTAACTGTAGGTTTGTGTTTTTCACACCTTGATTTAGAATGTCAACAAGAGTTTTGGCTTTTGCTCCCGAGACAGAAATTCAGAGAATAGCAACAAAGAGAATGGCTGCATCTCCAGTAAATGCTCACCAGGTCAGTTTTGTGTCCGTATTATTTGGAATAAATTTGAATCCATGCAATCCTTTATTCTTTGTCTCTGATAATCTTATTTAAAATGCTTATTTTTCATGATTGTTTTTCTTTTTCAGTTCTTTAAAGATTACATCGTTGAATCTTGACAACCACATAGCATAATGTGTCTCCTTGTATCCTCCCTTGTCCATTACTGTGAGGACATAAATTTACAGTCTTGTCTGTGGTTATGATGTCATTGTTTTAACAGCTGAGTAAGAAACTGGGTGCAGGGTCAGGAAAACCCACAGAAAGCACTAGCCTGGCTCATAGGAACTCACAGAGTCTGAACCATCAACAAGGAGCCTGTATGGGACCAACCTAGACCCTATTCATTTATGTGACAGCAGTGTGGCTTGGTCTGCATGTGGGACTCCGGTAAACAGGAGGAGGGGCTGACCTGGTGCTTTGAGGACCTGCTCTTGAGAACCTGTCCTCATGTTAAATTGAATACAGGGGGTGGTGCTTGGTCTTATGGCAGTGTGATATGCCATCCTTTGCTGAAGTGCATGGGAGGCCTGCCCTTTCTGAGTGATTACAGAGGAGGGGTGGATTGAGTAGAGGATGGAAGACATGAGGGAGGGGGGACTGGAAAAAGAGGAAAGGGAGGAGAGGCTGTAGTTGAGATGTAAAATAAATAAATAAATAAATTTAAAAAGAAGGCAGTTCTGAAAGGGATTCCACTGTAAATGATCATCAAAGAAATATATTGATGCCTAGTTCCTACAGAGGATAGACTTGTGTCCTCATACATTAGTGAGGAAGGGAAGTCTTAGGTGCCATGCAGGTTGCATTTTGGGGAGTGCCAGGTTCCCAGAACCAGGCTTACCAATATGGCCATACAAATACATAGATAGTTTTGCTGGTATCACCAGCAAATCTATGGAGAAGTAGATAGAAGAGACTCACTCTATTGAATCTTAATACTAAATAGTTCAGTACCATAGACAGCATAGATGATGGAAGGAATAAGTAACTTGCTCTGTCTTGAAAACAGTGTTTCTGTGAAAAGATGCAGATTGTGGTATACTGTTTCTCTCTTTGCTATCACAATGTGGTGATGTGTCTTTGGGGTTTTTGACACCTGAAATGTATTTGACTCAGGGAAGCTGCTGCTCATATCATCCTCTGGATTCCAATGACCAGTGTTAATATCTCAATAGACAGATCAGTATTTTCTCTTTTATTTTGTATTGTGTTTTAGACAGAGTACCATTGTGTAAGCAATGCCAAGTACATTGCAGTATGTGGAATATATCTATATTGCATCATGTGAGATATATCTATAAGAAATTTCTAGAAATTGTTGACTTGGAGCTCTTCATAAACCATCAATTTTCAGATATAAATGAATGCCTTTAATGATGCTGCTGAAGGCTGTCCCACCTTGTGTTTAGAATAGAGTCACATGAGGCCCAGCTGCAGCTGGTATTAATCCAGTTTCTATATTTGAGAAGGTTAATAGCTATAGCATTTGCAAGTACAGTTTGCACATTGTAATGTTTCCAACTGAAATGAGACACCCTTTTCCTGTTTCATAGCCACATTCCTTTCATAAAGGTACATCCCTGCATGTAGACCTCAAATATTTAATGTTTACTAGAGTTTATATGTCATCCTGTTTTTATGAAATATGAAATACAATATAGAGTATGTGTATTTTAGAAAGTATCATTTATAATTAACTTTCTTTTTATGTTTGGGGTATATTTGCCTCAATGTATATATGAGTGCTATGTGTGACTCCTGCATGTTGTATTCAGAAGAAAGCATTGTATCCCATGGAACTTGAGCCAGAATCAGTTGTGTGATAAAATGTGGATTCTGAGTCTGGAACATGTGTCCTCTAGAGCAGCAGCCAGTGCTCTTAACTGCTGAACTATCTTGGCAGAACATACACAAGTTTTGTCTTTAAATAATTGTCATGCCTCATCTATATCACAAAACTGTCTTTTCTTGGGTGTCTTTTACCTAGGAAAGCATTTTTTTTTTCTAGAAAAACATGGGAATGGATAATTTTCCATTACAGGGTCTGTTGACATTCAGGGATGTGGTTGTGGACTTTACCCAAGAGGAATGGGAATGTCTGGAGTCTTCTTGGAGGGCTTTATACATCGATGTGATGCTGGAGAATTACAACAATCTAGTCTTTGTAGGTAAGATTGCTTTTCTTGTAGAATTCCTTATGCATCTTTTGTATTTACCTACTTTGTACGTGTGTAAACTTTCTAAAATGTAATAAAGGAAATTAGAGTAATAAACATAACTTTTCCATGGGGTGTCATTTTCCTATGTTAACTGCAAGAGTAACCAATGTGCTAGACTGCATGATTTCTCCAGCTCTCTTTTCTAGCTTTTAATGAGAACTTGAATGTTTAAAGGAAATGGGTATTCAGAATAAGGAAAGTCATTGAAGTATATTTAGTAATTGGAATATTTGATTTTCAGTTGAATTGAACTATTCACCTATTTCTGATTTTTACAAAAATTAAGTTATTTTAAAATAGTGAAAGAGATGTTTGTGGTGAGCATATTGTTGTTTTATTTTATTTTATTTATATAATTTGAGATATGGCTTCTATATTTAGGCCTGGCACAATATGATTTTAATCCCAATGCTGGGAAGGCTGAAGCTAGAGGATCAGATAAGTTGTAGGTCAGATTGGTTTACATAGTGAGTTCATTTCTGACCAAGGCTACACAGTGTGACTCTGTCTCAAAAACATAAACAACCAGAAGACAAAGGAACAATCCAAATAGGGTCCTTCATGGATATCCATTCTCAGAGTAACAATTGCCTAATCATCTATTTGTCTCACCTTCTGCAAGGTATGCAGTTTAGATAGGGAAGAGAAAATTATCAACTGTCCTTGTGGGTGATTGGAGATTGCAGTGGTTCTTTGGAGGATTAATTTAATGATAGTGTAGCACAGAAGACCTGTGCTGAATTCACTATTTTTGAGACTTGCTAGTTTACCTGTTTTAGAAAACGTATGGAGAAATCATTTATTGAATCTCTTACTCAGGCATCAACATCTATCAGCCCTATTTGTGCTCTTTTTCCAGAGAAACATCGCACATGTAGAAAAAATGAAAAGTTCTTAGATCAAGACTCAAAGCACATTGCCTATCAGTCTGTGAATATCCAAAAGAAGCCTAATAAATGTAATAAACTTGGCAAAATTGTACATGAATCATCCCAACGTACACTTTATAACACAAATGATACTACAGAAAACTGCAACGAATATGATTGTGGCTACCACATGGATGCTTCTGTTGAATTATCAAACCATAAAAGTGTGAACAGTGGAGAAAAACCTTGTAAATATAAAGACTGTGGAAAACGTACCAACACTAGTCAAAATCACAGAAAGCACACTGGAAAGAAAGAACACAAAAATACAGAGTATGATGTATCATTCGACTCTAAACATAAACTCACACTCAAACGATTCCATAGTAGAGAGAAAAAACACCAATGTAGGACATGTGGACAATGCTTGCTGACCCACTCGAGCCTCAATAGACAACAGAGAAATCATTCTGGATCAAAATCCTACAATTGTGAACTATGTGGCAATTGCTTTTCTCAGTTGTATCAGGTTAAAAAACATTTCAAAACCCATACTGGAGAGAAACCTTACAAATATAGTGATTGTATAAATTCCTTCACCAGTGTCTCATGTCTTATTAATCATCAAAGAATTCACACAGGAGAAAAAACTTACAAATGCAGAGAATGTGAGAAATCTTTTACATGTAGCTCACATCTTAGAAGACATCAGAGACTTCATACAGGAGAAAAACCTTACAAATGTAGAGAATGTGGTAAATCCTTTACTTGTGGCTCAACTCTTAGAGAACATCAGAGAATCCATACAGGAGAGAAACCATACAAATGTAATGAGTGTGAGAAATCATATAAACATGGCTCAAGTCTTAGAACACATCAAAAAATTCACACAGGAGACAAACCTTACAAATGTAGTGAATGTGAGAAATCTTTTACATGTGGTTCAATATTCAGAAACCATCAGAGATTTCATACAGGAGAAATTCCTTATAAATGTAGTGAATGTGAGAAATCTTTTACATGTATCTCAACACTTAGAAACCATCAAAGATTTCATAGAGAAGAAATTCCTTACAAATGTAGTGAATGTGAGAAATCCTTTATATCTGTCTCAAATCTTAGAAGACATTACAGGATACATACAGGTCAAAAACCTTATAAATGTAATGAATGTGAGAAATCATTTCCATTTGTCTCAACTCTTAAAAAACATCAAAACACTCATACAGGTGAGAAACCATATAAATGTAAAGAATGTGAGAAATCCTTTACATATAGTTCACATCTTAGAAGACACAAGAGAATTCATACAGGAGAAAAACCTTACATATGTAGTGACTGTGACAAAGTCTTTACTCGTCTCTCAGGTCTAAGGGAACATAAAAAAATTCACACGAGAGAAAATTTTCAACAGTAAATAATATAGCATACGTTTTATTCAAAGCTCTGTTGTAGAGACCACTGCAGGCTTCATTGTAGATAATAATTATGAACATGAGAAACCATGAAAGTCTTAGATAATATCAAAAATTTTATATTGAGTGATATTGTGAACATTGGACTACCTAGGAAATTTTCTTAAAATATCTTACTATTTTAGCTTTAAATATTGCACAATGAACAGAAAATATAGAGGCATAAATAATGGCTTGTGTTTGCAGCCATTTCCTCAAGACTGAAACATTTCAACTGGAGAGGAACCTGAGTAAATGGGTAAAAATAAATAACTTTGAGAAATATTAGAAAGTGAAAGAATTCTCTCTGCTTAACTCACATGAAGAAACTTCAACAAAGTCATGCTGCTTAGATGAGGCTCTGACAAACTTGGTGACAAAAGGTCACCAAGAAAGGATGTCCTTCAACCTGTGGATATGCCTGCAAGTGTGCAGTGTGCTATGGCTGTCCAGTTGTCCTAAGCTGTATCCCATGAAGCTTTGGAGTTAGTTACATTATGGAAACTCTGTGAGTCCCTTTTTCCCACATATTCCTGTAACTAACCTGAATAAAGCTCATTGATTCAACAAGATGGACTTCAGTGCTGTCGATACTTGGTTCTGGGTGAGTAGAGGTGTATTGTGTTGCACCTCCATAGGAAGTCTATCATACAACATGTGCTGAACCTATTAATTCTTCCTCCAAACCTGTTTTACACCAGAACATTGATGTTAGAAGGGATTTAAATATCTAATGTTATGTTAGAGTCATGCCTCTTTGCACCCCATAATGTCCACACTAGAATACCCAAATAAATACATTAAAGTTAATAAACAGCCTAGTGCTAAAAGTGTAGACTCATGTGAAATTTGACCCTGAAGGAAACACCTACTTCCAAATTCTACAATAAAGATTCATGTTATCCAACATCAAAATATTGATTCTGGAGTGAAAATCTACCAATAGAAACAATGTGAGATCTTTATAGCTATAACCTGTGGATTTCACAGCATAAATGTTTGTGTATAGATAGGAAATTTCTGAGAATGTGAAGGAAATGAGCCTATCAGTACACAGCAAAGTTTAAGAAATATTAATTAACCTAAGGAGCACAACAATTGTAGACAGTTCATATGGAAAACTATGACAGACAGATTTGTAGACATCCAGCAAACCAAGTGCAATACAATTAAGAAACAACAGGAGTATATGGTCCTGTCTCACATGTCAGAGGGTGAGGATTGTTCTTTATGAATGCTTATGAAACCTGTTTTGGAAATACTTTTGTATTGCTAGTATTAGAGTTGTGGTCATGTCAACACAGTCTTAAAATTATAGAATCCCACTGTCTAGGTGACATGATTATATATTAACATTCATGCTGCATCACTAGATCCTCTTTTACAGAAGCAGGGTAAGGTAGGGGCACTTGGGCCTCTTCCTCCAAATAGACTAGTCCCATTTCTGGAAGATGTAGGCTTATATCAGGCTTCCATTGAACAAGAGAGCAAATGTCTAGTGCCAACATTGACTACTCTGCCATCATCTGGCTTTCTGTTTCTCAGGCTGGTTTCCTGCTCTGCATTCTCTAGGTGGACCTTGGTGGACTATCTGCTTCCCAAGCTACTTGGAGGGTTGCTGCCTTTTCAGGGTTTGTCTCAGCTGCAGATAATTTGCTAATCTAAGTTCATGATGTTTTTGCATGACTTCCACTTGTTCCCACAAGTTATAATGATCTGACCAGCTGATTGACAATGTGAACATAATCTCAGCTCCAGTTAACCTGCTGTTAGGACTCACCTCCATATGCTTTGGCCTGCTTCCACCATGTTTCTCCCAAAGATGGTTCCCTAGCCATAATACACATCCTGCTTGTGACCTTACACCAGGAATGTTCATCTCCTTTTTCCTCAGGGCAGACCTCCAGAGCCTGCAAAAGTGGCCTTGCAAACAGGCTCCCTCATCTCCAAGCTACAACACCCTGTGAGTGGCTCTGGCTTCTGAGGGTGCTGCCATCTGGGCCCTTTTGCCTATGCCTTCTGAATCACAACCCTGATGACTGTGGTAATGGATGATTGGTGTTCTGGGGAAACCCCAAATCCTGATGCCCTTTCATTGATTCTGTGTCATCAGCTCCCAGCACTTTAGGAAACACAGGAATTTCCTTTGTCTGTAGACATCACTAAATGGGCACTGTGAGTTCATAGCTCTGAGTTTCTAAGCATCCCTTGTACCTGAGTGGAGTGGATGAAGTCCTGAGTGAATATGTACTGTTGACATGGGTTACAGATTGCCAATTAGAGTGTAGGTAATGAAGAAATGAAAGATACATACAGAAAAGTTGGGATTGCATTGTCCCATGACTTCTGATGAAGACCAGCAGTGGCCTGGAAACTAAGGAAACAGCATTTTTTTTTTTTTTTTTTGGTTTTGTCGAGACAGGGTTTCTCTTGTGTAGCTTTGCGCCTTTCCTGGAACTCACTTGGTAGTCAAGGCTGGCCTTGAACTCACAGAGATCCTCCTGCCTCTGCCTCCCGAGTGCTGGGATTAAAGGCGTGCGCCACCACCGCCCGGCTGGAAACAGCATTTTTTAATACATCTGAAATTCAGGATGTGGGGATATTGTATAGAGCTGAATGGGGAAGTAGGGTTAATCTTTTTGTGTGTTGAGAGAGTGTCTTTTTATTGGAGCAGAGTCAGGCTGCAGCCATCTATTAGAAGAAAGCTGTGGTTACTAGTTTTTGTACAAATAGTCAACATCATCATATGGGCCATACAAAAGATTTGCTATTTCCCTGTGAGTGAATATGGGGAAGGTTTTGTCATTTTCATGGATCTGAGACTTTCTGATCCTGGACATGGCCATGCCAATTTAAATAAACACATTAACTTATCTCCCCACACGTACCTTTTCTTAGTTTGGGTTTATATTATTGTGAGGAGACACCATGTCCAAGGCAACTCTTATAAAGGAAAACATTTAATTTTGGCTGGCTTACAGTTTCAGAGATTAAGTCCATTATCATCATGGATAGAACCATGGTGGCATACAGGAAGATATGGTGCTGGAGAAGGATCTGAGAGTTCTTGATCTGCAGGAAGCAGAAGGTACTAGGCCTAGTTTGAGTGTATGAGATGTCAAAGTACACCTCCATAGTTACACACTTTCTCCAACAAGGCCATACCATTTAATAGTGCCAGGCATTCAAACATATGAATCATTTGGGCTCTTTGTACTCAAAACACTACATAACCTAAGTGGAGTATGTTTGCTTGGCATTAAAGAAAGCTCAGAATGAACTAAGCATAGTTTCTTGGCGTCCTGAAAACTAGTGTTGTCTTCTTTAGCAGAAATTCTTCTGCTGAGAGGATCTGAGAAGAAGGAATGTCCTGTTGATCTTTTTGCTCAGTTGGTCAGGGTGGCTATTTAAATTAATGTTCTTTAAGGAGCATTGTGTTTCTTTAAGGAGCCATTTCTCTTTTTCTGTGCTAAAAGGAAGTACCTCAGTTAGGAATCTGAATAGATATCTGTCATTTTTTTTTATTTAATACCTGGTCTCATTTATCCATGCTGGCTTTGAACTCACTAAGTAACTAAGCTTGACCATGAATTTTTTTTAAAAAATTAAACCATTTTTTAAAATTTATTTTACAACACCATTCAGTTCAACATAATAGCCACAGATTCCCCTGTTCTCCCCCTCTCGCCCCCTCCCCCTCCCCCCAGCCCACCCCCC